GACAAGGGGGACTGAGCTGCTACACAGGGGCCCAGCGCTGTCGCTGGGGCTGGTGTTGCCGCCACTGCTTACTACAGCAGACCCTGCATTTCAGGTGCTTCTGCAAAAGAGGCCGCTCCTGCTGGGAGCTCAGAGATCGCCCTCTGGGTGCCAGCTGAGTCCACTAAGGCTCCGGTGGGACCGCAGCCAGGGGCCCGAGTCTGGCCCTCTGCACGCCAAGCCGCCAGCTTTTTATCCACCACTCGGACTCTGACTGGCCATTGCTTCTGACCTCACTGTCTCAACGACGCCACACTAAGAAAAGACCCCGACTTTCGGTGTCCTGCCGCTTGCCCAAATTGGCGACAAATTGGGACCGAAGAAGAGGTGTGGAGAGAGTTGGCGCTATCGGGTGAGGGGATGGAAGACCCTCGAGGAGCAGGTGCGGCGGGTTGATAGGACAGCGCAGAGGAAGGGGAAGAGGACCGGGTTGCGGATCAAAGTGCGGAACACTCAGGCGTTCGGCGCGAACACCTCACGGGGTCCTTTGTCGCCGCAGTGGCTAGAAGGAGCCTGTCCCTGCGTGCGCCCGGCCGGTGGGCAGCCGAACCCCTGTCTGTTTCATGTGAGTGACGTTGTGGAGGGTCCGCAGTCTGTGCTTTGCGATCGAAGGTGTCTTTCCCACCTGCCATGGGAAACAGGGAAGAGCTTGGGATCTTTTGAAGAAGCCAAGTTTGAGAAATGGAATGTAGGGCCAATAGAAAGGATGCTACTGGATAAAATAGATAATTAAGCGCGTTTACTGTTATATAAATGTGTGTCAGTGGACTTGGGTGTTGTGGAGGACAGGGGACATGACAGTTCATTCATTCGGCAAATGTTTTTAAACGGCTGCTGTAGTCTAGGCATCCTTTTTGGCATTGGCGAAAGGGGGAAATGCGTAGCTAACATTTTTTTTTGAGGAAGACACATACTATACAAAGTAAATACAAACATACCATATTTTAGGTCGTGATGAGTGCTGAAGAGAAAAATTAGAAAGCTGGGAAGACGTTTTTGTGTGGCAAGGGAAGGTCTTCACGGAGAAGATGATTTTCCAGTAAAGAGCACATATTTTGGAGAAGTGCAGTCGGGTGGAGGGACCAGTCATTGGAAAGGCCGTGAAGCAGAAAGTTGCCAGAACAGCAAGCCTGTGGGTCACAGTGAAGTGGAAGGTTTAACCCTTCACTGGAGACAAAAGTAGGGACAGCAGGAACAGGTCATGAAGGACCTTGAGGGCCTCTAACTTTAGGAAGCTATGAAATAGGAAGCCATTATAGGGTTTTGAAGAGTGGAGTGATGTGATCTGATTTCCTTTTAATAGAGTCACTGTCTGAGGAGGCCAGGGTGGAATAAGACCAGTTAGGTGGCTCTTCCAGTAAGCCAGAGCAAAGTGGTGGCTTGACTATGGGTGGTAAGAAATGACTATACATATTTTTGTTCACTTTATTTAGTTATGTAAGAGAATTATGGATGACAGATTTTCCCTAATTAGAATTTGGGAGACCCCTTATAATGAATTTTAGTGGGAGAGAGTTAAAGTCATAGCTTTTTGCCATTTGATTCTTGGATGGAGTTAGACAAGCCATATAATTTTTCTAAGCCTATCTATAAAATGAAATAATAT